AAAGCTAACTGCACACACACACACACACAACACACTTTCAGTAAAACTACTTGCAAGCTTATAGCTTTTATCAACTAACTACAAAATAAATAACAATAACAGATGTGTTGAAGAATACATCTGTAACCTTGACTTCCACAGACTGAATCTATTACCTACAATATTCAAGTATGTGTTCCTGACCATTTAATTTTATCTATGAAGAAAAAATAAAAGTAGACTGTCTAAACCTCTTAATGATTCTGAACACCTGAATCACATACAAATGAAACAATACCAAAACTGTTTCTCCTTACACCTTAAATTATTTAAACAAGATATAATTTTAGTACACTGTTTCTATCCTCTTTCCAACATTCATATCCTTCCTCTAGTAGAGAAACCAAAACAATTCATAGTAATTCAAATGACATTTCACCATTCTTGTGCACTTACAATATATTCTTGTTCTAAAACTGAAAATTCCTCAAAACAGAATTCAGAATGTATTGTTTTTTGTTTTGCTTTCACTTACACTAAACAGAGAGCTTTATGGTTTTTCCCCTAACACCAAAATCTCTCTTTTTTTTTTCTTTTTTTAAAAATAGAAACACCAAGGTTCAATTCACACATGAAATTTTCACACCCCAAGTACAAAATTTTACATTTATTAACATATGTTTCACACAACGATCCATTCGATGAGAGGACTTCCAAAAATTAGAAACATAACTCTCAACAGAATCTGTTCTTCTCATTCTTCTCAGCAACTTAGTGTCAACAAACTTAGAAATAATACTGTTTAATAGCTATTTAAATTAATAAGATAAATTATGAACATCAGAAATCCTAAAGCATACATTTAAAGGGCACTACTGCTCATTCTTTCAATTCAATAACACTCATTTGTCATCTCCGTTTTCCACTACTTAAGTTTTCTACCATACATCCAAGGAATGAGAAGTTCTTAAATAAAATCCTATGGAAATGATGAGTATTCCACATTAACAGGTTTTTTTGTTGTTGTTTTTCATTAGCAAGTGTTTGACTGCTATACTGCAGTATTCAAATAACTTATTCTTTCAAAATTCCACTGAGGTTCTTAATGCTTTAAATAATGCACATAAAGACTGATTCTATATTTCTAGCAACTTTAGCTTTCCTGCAGTATTTTTTTGCACATATTACTAAAGGTGAACTTTGTACTAAACAGCTATACCATTGATACTGACTCTAATGTTGGAGCTGTGTACATAATTTTTATGTTATGGCATAAATTAATATAAGCCCAACATTTAGTATTTCACTCTCATATTCAAATTTTCTAAAATCATAACAGGAGTATTTTTGAAATTAAACAGTTTGAACTTTTATAGTCTTTATAAATAATTGTATAACATTAGCATAACATTCTACAACTACTCAAGTTAAACAATGAAAGCAAAGAAAGACTGAAAAAAAAAAACTAGCTCATTAACTGTAACTACACTGCATTTTGATAGTTTGTATTTACTATATAGTATTCGTATGCTTAAAAATAAAAGTTAAATTAATACAGGCTAAAAGCTCAAAAGCACGAAGCTACGGTATCCATTTCGTTCTTCTTGTTTACAATATTGTATATTAGTTGTTAACATTTGCACCAGTTATAAGTATAGTATTTGCTACTACTAGTAGTAGTACAATTACGAGTACGAATAAAATTTGTTTTATTGGGAGAATACTTATAGGGTAAATTGAACAAAACTACAAACTAAACCGAAAAATAAAATTTTAACATTTATTCTCACTAGTAAAATTATATGCTTGAGAAATATACATACTTGTTTATGACAGAAGTTTCTTTAGAAATTAAAAGTTAAAATCAAGTTATGAAAAGTTACTCCGAAATCAACTCAGCTGTTCAATCACTTGTCTTAAATCTCTATGATTTTTACGACATACGTTCAGCGTCAGCCATGTTCTCGTCGCCGTTTCGTACACTTGCTTTCCTCGCCCCAAAGTACCGAACAAAATAGTAACAAAATAAAAAAAAAAGCATCTAATACTATAACACATATTTAATGTCAAATTAAATATTATTGCAAAATATATTTACCTTCCTGAAGTTACGATTCCACATTTCCAAACTAAATGTAGAATTGGATCGGAAGTGATAAGCTTCGTTCGAGATTAGTATCATTTGCTACGTGTTTAACTATGTTCCCACTAGAGGGTAATAAGATTGTAAAAGGGCGTTGCACACATTGTGTTATTTTGCTCTTTGGTTGATATAGCTTATCTATCGAAGGTATTTGAGAAAATCCTTGATGTTCATTGAATATTAAAGTGCAAAACTCAGTGTAATATTCTTAGTTAAGTCTATAAGTACTTTTAATTCATGAGCAGAGTGGGATTATTATTCCACCTTTTCCGGCTTCTGATTTGGGAAAAGAAAAGTTCTAAGGGATCTTCAGAAAATGTATCCGTCAAAGCAAATTTAGAGAGAAAGACTGGTCGAGTCAGAAGTTGACCAAAGCTCTCTCGAATTGATTGAGTGTTAAAACAAACTAAAAGAGTAGAGTTGTTTAAACATTTAACAACAAGC